CATAAATCTTAAAAAAATCTGAAACAACACGTGCACAACAGAAAAGTGAAAAGAAAGTACGATAAATATCTTTAGCTAGTTGGAATTAAATTTCACGATTCTATTCTCACTGATTACATAACTAACCTAGTTGTTTTGTAGAATGTAACTGAATGGTTGGTAATCAATTAGTTTATCGACTAAAACAATTTAAATCAGCTATCATATACTTAACTACTATTTATACTAAGTGAGGTATAGGTACATGGATAAGAAACAAGCGTAGTGCATTCTATTTTTCAAAATTCCGCAGCACATTTATCAAAAGCCATATGTACTGCACACCAGCTGGCTTTATCCTCACTTATTACTGTGAAAAAATAACCAATGAAAGTAGACGAGGTGAAAAGATGACTGGATTTTGACTACCAGTGTCTTCATTACATTACACACACCTTGATAACGCGTGCCCGGATTAGAAGCTGAGTATTAGGTATGGATGGTAAATTAACCGATGAGGTTATTATTGTTATTATTATTCGCTTGGGTTGTGAGTGGAACATAGGTCCTCAACAGAACATATCCATTTCGGACAAAGAAAGAAGAAACACTGGCGCAGAATAATCTGGATCCATTTTATTTCGTCTGTTCTCATCAGCTGCGTACAACCTGAATTCTTTAATAAAATAAAAAAGTGTACAATTTTAACAAACTTTGTCCATTAGTAAGCATATTGTCACAGCTCATAGTGAAATAAGGCGTTACTATTTACAAGGTGTCTAAAGTGTTACGACATCTATATATATATATCTTGTTAGAAAGAGGTTCCTTGCAAAAAAATTAACTAACAGTTGTGTTGTTGGGGTGGTAACAAAAGAAAATTAGTAGTAATTAGGTAATTAGGTAAGGGAAGGTCAAAATTTCGGTGCACATGAGGTCAGATGAGAAATTGATGATGTAATACAGTGAGCAGAACTCAGAAGATCAAGAAAAATTATCTCTTAAGAGAGTCAAGCGAAAAATAAAGGGGGGGGGGGAGTGAAAAGATAAGTTAACAAAATTAAAATAGAAAAAAAAGAGTTACTAAGAAGTGAGTTACCAGGGCAATTGAAGTCCAACAACGGATTCTTTTTGGACACATAAGTCAGGCTTCAATCGTTTTATTGCTATAGCTTCAGCAAACCTGAGGAGACTTGAGGTACTTTGTCTGTTAATTATTTTGAATGATTCCAGCACATCTACATGATGTCCTGTGTCAAACAGGTGCTTGGCGATTGAAGAGCTTAAATAATTCGGTCCCTTTAAACGAAGGCTCCTTGGTACATGTTCGCAGAATCTGACGTAGGCTCTTCTCTCTGTTCTTCCAATGTAACTGCTCTCACAGATACATGTGAACCGGTTTACACAGTTGGAGGTAACATGTGAGGGGTACTTGTCAGTCTTTGACTGCACCAGTGAGGAGGTTGTTCGGGGTAGAGAGACTAATAATGCTGCAGGATACGTCCTAGACAGGGCTGCGCTTAATCGTTTATTTATCATTCTCATAATGTCGTCGCCCTTGTAGTCCTGTTTTCTGCAGTCGTCCTCTAACTGACTGCACAACTGACCATAAGCTTTCCTTTCTTTCTCACACGATCCCTTCTATTTCACCTTCGGTGATGCACACCTAATTTGTCGTTTCCTATTTGGACCTCACTCGAGAGCCTGATGCGTGATTTTATTTAGCGGTTTCTTTACCGCATTTCCGATCCATTTTCATTTTCTTCGGCATATGTGTTGGTTGGTTCGCTGGCTACCGAAGTTTCTTGTTGCTGGCTTATCCTTTTAGGTCGTTCATCTGATCTTCAGTACAGATTGAAGGTACCTACTGATAAAGTTTGTAGCCTGTTTGAAATTCTTTTGGTGACGTGCCATGTTTCTTACTCATTAAAGAAGAACTGGCTTGACATTATTGTTGAAAATACAAATTTTGTTCTCTATGTGTGTGAGATTTCGAAATCGATGAGGCTGTTAATGTCTATTGATTGAGGTGATTGAGGCATTGAGGCATATAAATTCATCACCATTCTAAAAAACGTGTGTTGACTGTAGTAGGATCAAATATAAAGGCAGACAGAATTAATCGAACTAAAACATGCATTCACTTCATATAACTATTTGTCACTGGTTTAAAACACACAGAATTGTGTAGATTATCTGGCTAGAGTTATGGAAATACTAAAAACTGATGGTTGTAGACTGTCTATGACATGGCTCAATATCATTCATAATGGAATGTATGTATCCATATTCTTTCATTTCCCAGATTTTCCAAAGCCTTATTATTATTGTTTTAATTGTTGTCTTCATCAGACCAACATTCATCAAGTTTGATATTATTCGATTATTCTTCTTTTATTTTGGTTGTCTTCTTGATCTGATTTGCTTTTTAACAAGGTTCATCCTGGAGAGAATAAAAGATACACTGGATACAGAACTCCGTCCCTCCTCCCGGAACAAGCTGGATTCAGGAAAGGTAAATCGTGTGCTTATCGAATTGAAACTCTACACCTCGTCATTACAAAACAGAGCTTAGAATGGCAGTTAAACCCCTCCCTATCTCAAATTCATTGACTTCGAAAGGCCTTCGACAGCGTTGACCGTGAAGTAATTTGGAAACTACTTCAACACTACAGCGTACCTCAGGTCTTTATCAACCTCATTCAACAGCTGGTTATTTGACAATACCCATCAGGTGGCAGGTGATCGAAAATGGAAAACTCACCGAGGCGTTTGAAGTGAATACAGGAGTAAGACAAACTGTCTGCCAATTATCACCCATGATATCCCTAATTGTGGTGGAATGGATTATGAGTCAGGTTGTGCGAGGGGAGTGAGAAGACGGGAATACATTGGACCTATAAGAAGACTCTAGAAGATCTGGATTTCGCAGATAATTTATGTTTGGTGTCATAAAAACTCGAAGAATTGTAGGCGAAAACTAACAAACTGGCTCAAGAGGCAGGCAACGAAGACAGGACTCCAGGTGAACATAGAGAAGACGGAGGTGATGAAGATAACCAACCAGCAGCACCAGTCAACACGAATGGGAGGGATTTGACAGAGGTTACTTTCTTCACTTATCTAGGAAGCTTGGTTGCAGCTACAGGTGGACGACACGGATGACGATTTCAAAGCCAGGCAGAATCGGAAAGAGAAAATACGCCTTCATCACACAATGAAATCATTTAAGTCAGCAGGGATATAAAATGTAGATTTTGAATTTACCTCTCATCTGTGACTAACCTCAGGCTGGAGTCGCTTGAAATCCTGATTTTAGGCTTTTGTTGTTAGGTTCTACTATATCAATTATGAAAACACTGAAGGCATTTCTTAAATTTTACAGTTTGACAATCCAACAACATTCAAGTTCAACCCAATGACAATGACTTTGAAACTTGACAATTCTAGACTAATTCTGTTATAAGATAACTGAATGTATACTGCCAAATTATGCCACAAAAAATCTACATTTTTCAGAAAATGGTCTTTCATTTCGAATTGTTCTCTTCGCAATATAAATTACTAGATAACTTCACCTTAAATCATTTCGGTCTAGCTTACCAGTTCCTTTTTATTCCTTTACGTTCCCAGTGGAACATAGGACTTCAAGGTAGAGGCTTGAAGTTTCTGTAGCGGTGGTGTTTATTTTCACAGTATTGAGTTGTTAGCCTCATGCGCAGCCTTCTCTCTTCACCAGTCTTACTAGTGGCTTAGCGAGCGAGGTAAAGGAGTACATCGGTGGCCGGGGATCGAACCTCGAACCACCTGCGTGGTCAGCGAGCATTCTACCACTGCGCCACCGACGCAGATAACCAGTAGTACTGGTTATTGGGAGTGTTATTTAACTACTCATATCAGTCAATTAGTAGTATATAATAGTGTCACGCAATTATGGTTACTTTCTTGATTAACATTTATGGTATCAGTTAGATCACATAATTTGTGGCCTGTATAATTTCAGTTTCCAAAGGAAACTGTGGTGAAGTCTCACCTCTTTGAACTGTGTAAATTGCAAATCGGGAACTTGATTTTATGTATAACCAGTTTACTGAAGTAGTTAGCCAGACGTCAGTTAGTTTTAACTGATTCAGTTCTCTGAGTTCAATCAGATCGGGCACACTATTCATAGTTCAGCCTTAAACGAACGGAGTGACTGTTAGACGTTTAAATCACTTCAGTAATCTGGTTGATATGAGTGGTATCCAGCTACGCAGTAGTAGCTGGGTAGTAGTAGTAGTAGTACGTAGCGTCATTTGTTTGGTTGTGAGGCGATCCAGTTGCCAGACTGCTAGTGTTTGATGTTTTGATGATATTAGATGGTTGGAGGTAATAGGCCACAGGAAGCCTTTCAACTAGGTTTCGTGCTAGTTGGCACTTGTCAGAACGGCTTATCTGCAACCTTGAAGGAACTCATGTCCCTCCTGAGATTCGAACCCGCGTCACACAGTGGGGCTGCAGTCAGAGACGTTACCACTGAGCTATTCGTCTCTGACTGCAGCATTGGTTGACGAGGGTTCAAATCTCACAAGGGACATGAGTTCCTTCAAGGTTGCAGATATGCTTTGCTGACGAGTGCCAACTAACATGAAACCTAGTTGGAAGGCTTCCTGTGACCGATTGCCTCAAAACATCTAATATTATCAAATCAATGTGCACCGTGATGGCGAGCTACCTAGAATGGTGGTCACATTGCAAACCTGACTGATAGAATTCAGTCTGCACCGAAGTGAGGACTAGACACATCGCACTAGTTACTAGTGTTTAGCAAAGTGTTTGATAATGTTAAACAGACAATGGTATATCATTCACTAATGTAACAGCTGGGTATTGCAATGGAATGGTCACCTAGTTTGTGGCTCAGATAGAAGATTATAGATTCCAGGGCAGTTTGTTCAAGTCCCTCTCCTATTCAGATCTTCATTTCACTTCCAGTCATCATTGATTGATTGATTGATTTTCGTCTTTATTTTTGCTAACAGGCTGATAAAAGTTATCAAACTGCTGTTGATGGTATATATCCAAGTGATGAATTCAATACTCAGTTTTATATTGAACCAAATACTGGTGTTATATTAAATGTTCAAAGTAAATTTCAAGTAAATATTATTCTTAAAAAGAATAAAAGTATTAAACAATTATCAAAAATACCTGATCTATTATTATTACCATTGGTATATTTCAATGAATCAGCTAATTTAAACAATTCTACAATCATTGAACTAATCAGTGTGGTAGTTAAAGGTCCAATGATACTTGAACAAGTTATGATATGCAGTATTATTATTACGATATTAATATTATGTTCGATTTTATTGAAACCATTTATTTATATGCATAGAATTTTTGACTTTAGAAGTAGAAAAGAAGAAAAACAACATTTATTAAGTTAAAATGAAAAGGAATAAAACAGAAAGGGAAGAAAGAAATTTGCAAATTTATTTTGAAAATGGAGAAAAAAGTGAAAAATCGAAGCAGAAGAAGACACATCTGTGAACCTTTGTTTACGTTATTTCCAGTTTTAATCAACTCATTCATTATTTTCGTTTAACTCATTATTTTATTTAACTCATTGATTAATTTGTAGTCATCTCATGTGCATTTTGTTTCTTTATTTTGAATTTCGCGCCATATTACTTTTGCTATCTAGTAAAACAAAAAGGAGCCATATTTCATTTTCTCCCAGTGAATGATATCTTACTATTCATTCTTTTTTACATACACACACTGAAGGTGAAGATTGTTTTTTTTTTTAATCGACCTCATAAATTTTTTGATAATTTCTAATCCGGTGATTATTGATAACATATACCAGTATACAAGTGAATATTGTTTAAAAAATTGTGTAATACAGTTAATTTTCCATAAAGTGTAAATTACTTCTTTCTATAAAACATTTACTGATGTTCATTTTGAAGAAGGAAAATACCTCATTTGAAGAAAAGAAGTTCCCTCGGTGAGTGATAAATCTATTTGGTGGGGCAGGGGGGATACTAAGTTAATACCAGGGAAAATGATGGGAAACACAGCTTGCGGAACAGAGTATCGTTTGTTTCTACCAAGTTGATACCTGAAACTACTTTCAGGCGTTGGTTTGCAGGGATTTGATTGGTTGAAGGTCTGAACACGAGCAAACATCAGTTGGGGAATTACTAGAAAGCCAGTGAGTACTTTTTAGCTGTTTCGTCCCAGTTCAGGACTCTTCATCAGTACTCAGGGATTCTGGGTCGAACCCAGGACCTTTAGGTTTCAAAGCAGTGGCCGATTGACAGAATATTCATTACCGATACATATGATCTGTATTGTGTTCCTTGCCGACGCCCTCTTAAACCTCATCCTACTTTAACAACCGGTAGTAAGTCGAGGGAACGAAGGAGGGTTGAGCGTAATTGAGGCTAGTAACCCTACCCCATACGACAAATATCACCAATATCGCTATTTAAAACTTCAAATTTGAAAGCTTGAAGTTCTACATTTCACTCAGAAGGCAAGGGAAAAAAACTAAGATAGAGTCCCATAATTAACTCAATAACCTTGATTTTTATATTACAAACAGTATGATAAGTGTTCTTTACGACTGTATTCTAGAGGGTGATGATTTATTGGCGTAGAATGCAGTAAATTTGAGGTCGAATTGGTTCAGATTGATGAAATTCACAAGACTTTACAGAAATTATATCAGAATTTTTTTAGGGATGCCACTATTTTCTTCAACGGGTTTTTTAACCACAATTTTCAGAACTTTTAATTTATAACTATCTGGTTTGTTTTAATCACTGGCGAAGTTAAACTTTAAGCACCACTAACTACCAATCAGTGAACAACCTTCAACGAACCAATCACATGAAACAGGGAATTTTGATTATGGAGAACGTATATTTATGGACAAAAAAGCATAAAAACTGAATAAAACTGTTACATAGGGTATCTTTCTCTAACATGTGACAGAAACATCTCCCAGTTTAGCATAGGAGTGTCAGTAGAAAAGTTACACCACATTCTGTACATATATTCATCCAAATGACTATAAATTACATCCTTTTGAGATCCATTTATAGCCCTAGTCCTATTTTTCAATCTTCCCCAAAATCCTTTTATAGAATTCGTATATGTATCCCTGTAATTGGATCAACAAAATCACTAGAATGGTTCACTCTGTGATAAATATATCTAAAGGATGACAGCGAGTTATAATCTTTCTATTCACCAGTGTGTACTATAGATCCCTGTTTCACCAGTCGAGTGACAATCGGTACTAACGTAGTAGATTTTATGTCTGGTATTCTCTCTACGAATCCTTTTCTCAGGGAGGTGTCATATAAACCAATCACCCAAACATTGTTGGCTCGTTCACGACCACAGTTGTATTTTTCTTCAGTAACACAGTTTCGTCCATGTGTACGATGACACCTTCTCCGCCTAACAACGAAGTAATTCTCTCCATTTTCCCTTAGGCGATGTCTCTGCAGTGCTGGCACTACTGAACTGTTTACACGAGGCTGTTTTCAGCAGCTGCGCCTCTCACAGGCTGTTTTAAAGCCCAGCAGTTACAAATATACAAAATCTGGGTCAGGGAGAGATGCAACCTTGCGAAAAATGTTCCTACGAAACATTAAAATCACCAGCTTACCTTCCCTAATACTAACTCGTCTCAAGCAAATTGCACAACGATGGACATATCCATCGATCGACCTGCTAAAGCTTTTCAAACTCATGACACCACCCCTCCTTCCTAAGCAACTGCAAATCCAGGCAATACTGCAAAACCTTATCGTCCTCGAACTGCAAGCGTAACTTCATTTGAGCTGGCATTTGATACGAATCAAGCAGAATACAACCTTGAACTCACGTACATGATCCTCATTGGACCATTCGAGGTCATTCGCTGATTGGTAGTTAGTGGTGCTTGAAGTTTAACTGAGCCTAATCACCATATAGTTAGTTTATTTTTCATTTCTGTTTTACTGTGAAAGTTTAGATATTTCATTCTTTCATAGTATAACCAACTTCTACTTCTGCCTTGAAATGTTTCCAAATGCTCGAAGTGTACTCACTGAGCAGATATTCTACTCAGGACATCTTAATTTTTAGGATAGACTGTCATTATACTGGTTAGTATCTGCTTATTTTGATTAGATGGAAGATATTATCATGAGCTGACATCAGTTAGAGAAACACTGGAAATTCTGGGAGTACTGGACAGCTGTTACGTCCTAGTCTGGGACTCTTCATCAGTACACACCCACAACCAGGGTTCCAGCCCAGGACCTTCTGGTTACAAGGCGAGCTCGTAGACCATTAAGACACTGTGTCCCGATCCAATGGCCAATAAATTCTTACTTCTACAAATTCACGACATAGCGCGACCATTTCGCTATGTCTCCTTCGATCAGTTACTGCCTCATCCTCAACCTGCTGTAACCTACTGGTCACGGCTTCGCACTAGAACACTAGGTCGCTGCCTGAATAGGGCCAGTTGCTAGTGAGCATCAGATTATGAACGAAATATTCCCATATTGAGTCATAAGAAAAAGGCACAAACAGTGAAGAAAATTTTCTTTTCGACGATTCATTTTCATGAGCTGTACAATCGTAATTATAATTAACAAAGAAATCTTTAGACCAATCAGATACTGGTAAATTTTGTCCTTGGAAAATTGTATTACATAATGTAAGGTGTAAGAAGGGATGACTAATTGTAAGTTAGAAAGGAGACAGAAGTTGGCATGACGTAATAAGTGTGAGATAATGAATGATCAATAAGCTCGTGTAAAATGGACAGGAACTAGTGGAAAGGCTATAAAGTGTTTTTGTATAAAATATGTATGAAAAGCAATGTTATTAATAAACAGTAATAGAGTGGTAATAAAATGTGGATGATGGGGACAATAATGATAATAAAAGTATTAATAAAATAAAATAATAATAGTAATAATAGTGAACTTACATAATAAAGGAAAGAAGCAAAATTGTGGTAAGAACTTTACTCTGGCCATGGTAGGGCAAGAGAATGTATGTATCGCTTTTGGATGCAGAGGTCCGGTTTCAGATCTCGAATACCTAATGCTTGAGCTATGTTCAGATGGCGTATCCGAAGTCCCTTTGTACGGTATTGAGGGACTCTGTGTAACACTGTGAAGCATTCATGTGGGGGTGCTCGATGTCCAGAGATGACTGGGTGTTCGAGGATCGAGCTGTTGATATTCTTCTTTTCTCCTCTGGATAACCAAGCTGGGCAGTGTTCCAGAATACGTTTGTGGACTTGACTTTGCGTACGACCAATACACTTTGCTCCACACGAGCAAGTAAATTGATAAATTACACATTGAAGTGGTCAAAAGCGGTATCTTGTCTTTAGCGTTAGACTGGATTAACTGTCTGCAGGAGAATGTGATACGTAGAGTGGCTGTTGGAAATGTCTTCTTCAGACATTTAGAAAGGCGGTTTCTGAGAATTTCCGCCGTGACATCACCTTTGAATTCTAGGTTCAGGGAGGGAGTCTTCTTAGGAACCGTTGCGATGTTTGACACCGGAGGCTTCTCCTTCATGTTTTTGTCAATAAATCTTGGTAGATACTTATTCTCTGGTAGGGTTTTACGTAATAAATTTAATTTTCAAGTATTGGTCTACGAGCTCGCCTTATAACTAGAGGGTCCTGTATTCGAACCCCGGTGGTTGCGCACTGATGAAGAGTCCCAGACTAGGACGTAACAGCTGTCCAGTACTCCCAGGTCTTCCACTAGTAAACTAACTTATGTCAGCTCATGATGAAATCCTCAATCCAATCAAACTAAATCCTTAAAAAACCAATACTTGAAAATTATTTTAATTAGTTTTGGCTTCCTAATCACTAGTAAATTTCTACTCTATGCATTTTATCCCTCTTTGAAGCTACTGAAGTTTCTGTAATCATGGTTGTATCTTATTTACGAGGTGAGCTCGTTAGCCTCATTCAACCCCCAAAGTACCCCTGTTCCAAGCTTATTCCTGGGTAATAAGGTAGGCAAGGTTTACATTTGCGTTGGATGAGAATCAAACACAGACTACGAGCGTGCTTCATGAGCATCTTCCCACTAGACTACCACTGCAGGTTAAATTTCTTTGAGGAATGAGAACGGACCCGATTTCCTAAGGTAATCTAGACGCTGTTTGCTAGTGACTCTCAGAAAGCTCGAAATTTAGGTCAAGAAATGATATGACCAGTAAGCTGTGGGCAAACTGATAAAGAGACTGCTGTTATTATTGTTATTGTTCCCTTGGGTTCCTAGTGGAACATAGGGCTTCAACTGCACGCCTCCACTTGCTTCTGTCTTCTGCTGTACTCTTCACTTGCATCCATGTTATTCCATACTGTTTCAGTCCGTCATCACACGATCTCCTCCATGTCACCCTTGCACTGAAGTCCCACTCGCCGCTTCCCTTTCGGGTTCCACTCGAGCACTGGCCTGACGCGCGATGTCACCCAACGGCCTCCTCAGCGAGTGTCCAATCCATCTCCACTCTCTCCTGCATATTTGTTGAGTGATTGGTTCTTGTTTTGTTTATTCCCATAGCTTCTTGTTTGTGATTCTTTCCGGCCATCTAATCTTCAGTATAGAGCGAAGACAGTTGTTGATAAAGGTCTGCTAACTGTTGGAAATATTCTTTGTGACCCGCCAAGTTTCTGATCCGTATAGAAGAACTGACTGACTTGACGTTTGTATTGAAAATCCGAATTTTGTTGTTGAAGATTTCCAGACTGCTGTTGGGGTTCGTTAATTTGCTCGAAATCTGATGCTACGTTTAAGTTTCGATACATGAAGGCGATAAGTCATATTGTCTGAAGAC